TTACCTCTGTAGTGGAACTTTTGTTTCCTTGATTTTCTTTTCTTTTGAATATTCTACAATTATTCGATGTAAAAAAAATTACTATTATTTTCTTAAAAGCGTTAATCTGTAGAAATCATTGAAGATTCGATCGACTAATATATTTTTCCATGTAGTTTATGTATTCATGTTTCACTTCACCTTGTGATGAGACAAACAAATACCAAAACCATCAACAGAAGTCCAACGATGACGGATGTAATAATGATCGGCAATCGTAAATCGGCAGCTTAAAAAATAGGTATTTCTTACGTAAATTAATTTCATATGCTTCAAATTGCAGGAAGTTGCATATTTTGTCTCTATAAAACTAAATTTCCTTTTTTAAATGCCCCCTCAAATCTATGGCGGCAAAATCTTGCCAAAATACCGATACTGACCCAAACTAGTCTTTAAATATCCGGTATTTGCACACTTAGTAATGGTATTCCTCATACATGTACAAATAAATGCGGAAATGCTAACAAAATGAATAAAAACTTTACATGTGTCTTGTCGTTTCATCTCTGTTTGAAATTCCAACGTCTCTGTAGTGGTATCTCTCGTGTGGGATTCGTGAAAATCACCTGTCGTTATATTGCAGTGTCTGGAATTTGATTTTTCTGTGTCCAAATGAAAAAAGAGAAATAATGAATGCTCCTCTTAACCTTGCAAACAAATATCATATTTTCACTACCACCGGAGACCTACATGTATACATCTATCGTGAATTTGAGACTAATCAGACGTTATCCCCTAAAATTTCTAAGAAATATTTGAAAATTTGTACGATAAAGAATGACATATACAAGCTCAGATGACACTATCCGTTAAAACTTTTATGTTATATATGTTAACATGGATTTACAATAGAGTAAGGTCGAAAAGTGAATAGAAATGCAGACGTTAATAATCCCCGATCATCATAGAGTAAATCTGGACAACGAAATTTTGCTTATGTATAGTCCTTTTATCTAAATCATTCTATAATCTTTTTAATATATCCTTTTAGCGATTCGGAACTTGGTCGATTTATGCATGCTTTTGATTTTTTTTCTCAATCCGTATCGGTCTGAAGAAACTAAATGAAATCACTTGCAATTAAAATCAATCTACAATTTTTATAACGATACATTCTTCCAAATAATCGTTCGATATCTTCAATTTAGTGATGTATACTTTGAGCTTGAGAAACCTTTCCATGAATTTATACATGCACCTGAAGACTGGATATTATATCCTCTGTGTGTATTTTTTTGTGAAATACATGTATATGTATACCAAATAAGTACAGCAAGAAATACAATCTTATCTTTTTTTTCAACGAAAAAATTTAAGATCTCATGCAAAAGATTGCTCAAATTGAAATTTCAAGTCCCAGCAGTAAATCGATCTATTTTTACGGTGTTAAAATCGTCATACGGCCAAAGTTTATTTGCATCCTAGAGGATGAAGTACCCTTATCCCTATAGGTGCGATATATCTAACCTTGAATAAGAGATTTTGAAATACGCTTTAAATAACTTTACAGACTAAACTTAAACAAGACTACTGTTTTTTATATACGACTAAAATAACGTTACAGACAACTTCCTTTAAAACTGAGTTTGGTCTGTGGGAAATATATTATAAATGTTTAAATTTTCTCTTATTTGTGCTATATTTTTTTCAGAATTCTCCAAATTCGATATATTATCGAGTTCAAATGGTTACTATCACTCCATCGTGCTATCGCACCATTGTCATCGCATTGTCGCTCCATCACATCATCGTCATCGCGCCGTCGCTTCATCGTCATCGAGCCATCGCATTATCGCGCTCTCAACCCTTTAGTCGATGCTTGATAGTGCGATAATGAACTACATGTACATGTCCCTATTCGGATTCCATAGGTTTATGACTACCGGTATGTTGGATTCAATCGTCAAATTTATACCCAAGAAGACAGGCGAAAAGCCCGGAAGGAAAAGTCTTGCAATACCCATTGTAGTATAAACAATGTAAAGAAATGCAGCGTCGTGTAAAGGGAGAAAAAAGTTTAAGAGCACATGCATGTGCTCGAAAATTATGATTTTCGTTTTGGTCCAACTGATACGGAAGCTTATTAGTGCCATTTTGACACTTTTTATTTTTTAATTTCTACACTTTAATCTGTAAAATTTACAGATTAATGGATAAATTTTGCACTTTAATCTGTAAAATTTACACTTTAATCTGTAAATTTTACAGATTAGTGTAAAATTTACACATTAATCTGTAAAATGTACACTTTAATCTGTAAAATTAACACTTTAATCTGTAAATTTTACACTTTAAACTGCATAATTTTCACATTAATCTGTAAAATTTACACTTTAATATGTAAAATTTTCACTTTAATCTGTAAAATGTACACTTTAATCTGTCAATTTTACACTTTATTCTGTAAAATTTACACTTTAATGTGTAAAATTTACACTTTAATCTGTAAAATTTACATTTAAATCTGTAAAATTTAAACTTTAATCTGTAAAATTCTTTCACACATTAATCTGTAAATTTTACATTTTAATCTAAAACACTTGTACTGTAATCGTTAATAATCGAACGGTCGTTTCACGTTCTTTAATCTGTAATAATCGAACGGTCGTTTCATGGTGTTATACCTATGGCATTTTCAAAATAGTATAAAACTGAGATGTTCACAAGTGTTTGCATAAAAGTTTATACATGTATATATGATAAGTAAGGATGGGCGATTTGCTCATGGACCTCGTCATTTTCCCCGGCAAAATATCGGGAATCTGTTTTCAATCCAGAATATATTTCTTTAGTTCTAAAACAAAGAGCGACGAACAGTAAAAAAAATATATATATCTAATATTTTTGTCTTCTCCTTTGCAGTTCAGATTAATATACAAGTTTATGAGTCTATGATCATGATGTTAAATATTACAGTTAAAATTACGGTCATTTTAGAATGTATAAATAAAGAAACATCATTGAAACAAAGGATATTAATTTTTATGCTGTTCCAAAATTAATATAAACTCATATTAATACTTTAATTATTTATACATGTATATACTTTAATAATTAATATATTAATTAGTTATTTAAAAATTCTCAATTCAATAAGTAATTCAATTGTTGCCCGTAATACATGTAGAACGTAATTTAATTAATGCTATCAATAATAGAACTGTTGAGCGCATCAAATGAATTTGCGTATAATTATATCAATATCATATTCATTGAGAAGATATGTGTGTTTGATTTGCTCTTTACATCCACTGAATTCATAACTCTCTCAAATATTCTATGAAAGTCTCATATCAGTCATACTAGATTGCTTTTTCTTTTTTTTGTTTTTGTTTATTGTTCAATAAAAAATCAAAATTAAATTTTAACATGCAGGATTCATTGTTTGTTGGCTTTAAAGCATATTACTCTAGATGTATGAAGTTGCCAAATTGATTATGTGAATTAAACAGATAAACGTGTAAACTTTACAGATTAAAGTGTAAAATTTACAGATTAAAGTGTAAATTTTACAGATTAAAGTGTAAAATTTAAGATTAAAGTGTAAATTTTACACATAAAAGTGTAAATTTTACAGATTAAAGTGTAAAAGTTTCAGATTAAAGTGTAAAATATACAGATTAAAGTGTGGAAAATAAAAAAAAAGTGTCCAAGTGGCACTAAAACGCTTCCGCAAACTGAATATTTATTTTTTTTTATTTTTCATAGCTGGTTAAATCTAAAATTGAAATGTTACCTTGAAGTCGATATCAGACTATTAAAAAATGACAGCAACAGGAGTCTACGATTAAGACAGGGAATAGAAAATTAAGAAATATGTTTCAGTTAATAGGAAGTTAAATTAAGATTATTCAGTAAAGAAGTCTCCACAATTACCAAGTACTATGTAAGGATTTTAAGATTTCTCAATTTTATTAAGTGTGGTCATGAAGATTTTAATTTCTGTAGCAAATATATGTTTAAATTATTTATAATTATATTCACTGGAAAAGGACAATGACAGATGTCTCCAAGTTCATAGAAAGTGGTCCTCGGACCCCTACCCCCCATTAAGAGGGGGCGACTTCCTCCTTGCCTGCAATTCGGCAATTCGCGCCAGGTGAAATCTGTGACTTCACATTAGACTTCACATTACCAGTAAGGAATATACGCCACTGGGCGTAATCATAAATCAACTTTGTTTTCTGTTGAAAAGTACCGGGTATACACTGGTAAAATGATTGATTATCGAGGGAACACAACTAAAAATAAGCTTTGTTATAAACTTAAAAAATTATTCGTGGGGGGCACCCCCCCCCCCCCCCAGTCCGTTTTACACAAGAACTTAATTCCGAATTGGATCAAAAACTTAAGTTGAATGTAAAATCTTGCAAAATAAATGATTCTGTTTAAAAATTGCTTGCATGAAATACCTTTCTATATTCTTTATAAAAAGATTGAAAACAAAGATTGAAAAAGTTATTCGCAAAGTTACGATTGGTCTTAGTCATATGTTCTTTTGTAAAACGGGGCCCTGGCCTGTATATCCAACAATTCACTATGCACAATCAACATGTCATTCTAGCTATTTACCTGAGAGGATGATCATATCAGTAAATCGTAGTTCTCCTTTTGGGATATCTTGAATATAGAAAAGGGAAATATATAATAAATGAAATAAAACCTTTTCTAGGAATTTTAACGTAGATACTTAACCTATTTTTGTCCCACATAAATATGGCAGTTTCTCTGAATAGTTAATGGGAGCGTTGATGATTATCTTTCCATTTTCTTTTGTTGCAAGCTTGATGACAGGTTGAAATAATACAGATGAATGTTTAAACAAATCAAGACACACTTTACTAGTATTATCGAATTGCCTTGACTCAAAGAACGGGAAGTCTTCGTTAGGAAGAGATCTATTTAAACTGTGGCACTCTTTCCTGGCATCTGCCCATTTCTTATGTCTAAGATAAGTAACGTTAGATCCATCTGAAAGAAAATACAATTTAAATACAGTAACACACAGTAATAGATACAGTGAATTATATATATATATATATATATATATATATATATATATATATATATATATATATATATATATATATATATATATATATATATATACGAGATATGATATGATATGATATAAGCAAAAGGTTTTAAAAATACATCCTTTCATTAAACCGCAAACATTCGCAACATTCGCTTAAAGAGTATAAGGCAAACTACATATATGTAGATGCCTTCATATTTTAAAGATAAAAATTTAAAATACCCACCGTGTTGAGTACAATATGCATCACAGCATTCATGGCAAGGCATTCCATAGAGTTCAGAAGATTGCAAATCCATGTAAGTAGCCACACATTCCGACTTTATTTCTTTTGTATATTTGGGATTTACTGAATTGTATTAAAGTCATATTTTAACGATTTTCAAAGGTTAAAATTCAAATTATGGTTTTTTTAAACTTGTATTTATAAGAAGATAGAAGTAATTGATGATATGAATACCCCCATTGTTGTGCTTCCCCTGCATTATTTGAATTTATGTTTATAGGACTCGAATTTTTGAAAGTATGCAGGAATTGGTTTCAAGTTTATATTCATATACATGTAGATAATTCAAAAAATTACATACATTTTTTTTAATGAAAAGATGTCAAACAAATCATATCACTAAAATAGCTCTTTTCTGTGAAAGCATAATTAACTTTTATTCAACAAACATAAACAGTTACACACTTCTGTTTTTATGCAAATGCATGAAATAATTGTCTAAAGATAGTGAAAAAATCTTGCTTATCTTTCTATTTCATGCATGTTGTATGGCAGTTTTTGAACTTTTGTCTGTTGGAAACATATAAACCATTGAGTTTTACCCTTTTAGGATAAAAGAATTGCAACGCATATGTAATGAAGAGTACTTACTGTCAAGGATGGAAAAGAGAGTAAGAAACATAGTTCTGTTGTCCTCTTGAAAATTGTTGAAATCTGCTGAACAGAAAGCGTCCGGAACCTTGAGATGAGAGTGTCTTACATCTTCCTTCAATAAGTAACAAGAGCCACGGGTCTACGTATAACAAAAATGTGAGTTCTTTTACTCATCTAAACAAGGCGTATACTGGCATGTAAACATTTACTAAATAGAAACGATAGATCAAGCCAGCATAAGACGTTCAAAACATTTATTTTGAATCTTAAGAATTAAATGAATAAATATTTATTTTTAGGCAGAGCTTATGGATGGCAAAACCTTCTACCCTTTAATTTGATCGCCCATTGTGGCCCCACCCTTCCCCCGGGGGTTATGATTTGAACAAACTTGAATCTACACTATCTGAGGATGCTTCCGTAAGAATATGACCAATCATGGCTTTGCTGTTCTTGAGATTTTAAATGATGCCATTAATTGTTTACGAATTCATAATTATCTCCCCTTGGAAAAGACATGGCCCTTTATTTGAAAAAAATTGAATCCATTTTACCTAAAGATACTTTGTGGCAAGTTTGGTTTATATTGGCCCAGTGGTTCTTGAGAAGAAGATGAAAATGTGAAAAGTTAACGACGACAACAACAACGACGACAGACAAAGCACAAATTTAGATAAGAAAAGCTCATTTGAGCCTTCGAATTCGGCTCAGGTGAGCTAAAAATACACAATCCTCAAGGCATTTGTTGCGACTATGAAACAACCAATCAAAAGCCAGGCCTCAAACCCATCCATTCTATCGCAGTTTGACTTGAGGCAAAAGGTTTGCAACCATCAAATGCCAAAATATGGCAGGAACGTTAACGGCCCAGTGACCGAATCGTTAACGGCACTAACCGTACTGTTAGAGCACATTCACTTAAATACCATTATTCAAATGCTAGACCGTACGTAACACGTAAAGATTAAGTCCTGTTAGATATGGCTATTATTCCTTGCAATTGAAGACGCATGTCTTCAATTGACTTCGGGAAAAGAAACTCTGCAGAATAAATCATTCTTTTGTCTGTCGATGGTGAAAAGAGATTTTTTTTTACTAGATAACCTAGTATCAGTAGCAAAATTATTTGTTATGTACTTCACCGTGGCTTATATTGTGTTACTGTAACTTTTCTACATTGACTTTGGGTCGCCCGCGTGGTGCAGTGGTTAGAGAGTTTCCTCTAGAGTCACAGAGAAAGGAGTTGATCCTTACGACTCGGGTTCGAATTCCATTGCGGGACGTGGCCACCTGTACTTCGGATGAGACCGTATAAACCGAGGTCCCGTGTCGCAGTAGGTGCCGGTACGAAAAAGATGCCTCACTGCTCAATGGCCCTAAGTGCTGAGTACAGGTCTAAATTTGCAGTCCTCCATAGGCAAATGATGGCGTCTCAAAATGAGTGAAAAATTCTCGAATGGATGTTAAACAAACAAACAAAACATTCACTTCGGGAGTTTAGATTTAGATTTAATTTAGATTTTATTAAAACCAAGAGACATACATCTCATAGGTATAAATACATTATACATATAGAACACAACAGAACATTTCATATGAGCAAAATATAAAGTATAATATTAGAATAAAGCATTTATAAATCCAACAGTTCATTTCTTAATCTACAAAACATATAGTCGGTGCAGTGGTAGAGCATCTGCTCTAGAGATTCGGAGTAAGGAGTTGATCCTTACGTAGCGGATTCGAATCCCACTGTGGGACGTGGAGACCGGTCCTTCGGATGAGACCGTATAAACCCAGGTCCAGTGTTGCAGTAGGTGCTGACACGATGAAGATTCCCCACTGGTCAATGGCTCTGAGTGCCGAGTATAGGTCAAATTTTGCAGGTCTCCACCGGCAAGTGGTGGCGTCTCCATCGGAGTGAAAAATTCTCGAGAGGGACGTTAAACAACAAACAAACAAGAAAACAAAACATATATATTTTCCAAGGTTACACATTTCCTTCGTATTTGAGCTGGTCAACAATTGTATTAGCTTATAAACACTTGGACGACATGCATAATAGTTTTTGATGTACTTTTTTTTTACTCAGATTTTCATATTTTGAGAATTAAGGTATAAAATGAAATTCATCTTCTAAATCACCCGTTGAACAAAGATCACATTTTCTAAAATTCTTCGGTGTATCATTATATCTTCCTCTTTCAACTTTTAAATCATAAGCACATAATCTTATTCGGGAAACACATGTTCTATAATTTGTGCGTAAAGGTTTACAAAGGTACGATTGTAAAGTAAAATTATCCACCAAATGTCGGTATAAAAATTCTTTGGACGAGGCATGAATATATACACTTATCCACTGGCTGTGAGTGGGATAGCTCTTTTATCAAACCCGCGACAGGAACTATTCCCCAAGGGCTGAAATCCTAGTGACGTCACAATGCTACTGAAATCGGGATGACATTAGTAGTCTAAAGACTGATCGCAGAAAAACAAAATTGGCGGCAAAAATTGAATGAAAAGTTTCCGAGGGGTAGATAGCACAAACTATACCCCGGGGTATAGTTTGCTAGACGTGAAATTTTCAAACTATAGAAAAATAGTTATTTTACCTTCTTAACTTTATACAGGAACTGTTTTAACAGAAGTATGATAATTGACAATGTTTTTTGTTTGAAAATATCACAAATTCTTTCATACAATATCTTAACAGAGTGTGAATCTACATTATGTTGTTATACAGATCAGATAGACCATTTAGATTGATTTCCTTTCTTATGTTTGTAATCCACATATCATAATTTTCTAATATAAATTGAAATCTAAAGTTTATTCCTCAATTTGTAATAAATTCAAGCATTCTGAATATTTCAACTGGCCTAGATAAAATAAACACTTTATTTGCATGTACTTTTCTTATTTAAGTAAGCAACAGTGCTCTACCATATCCTGTAAACATGACTTTAGTATCAAATTGTCACAATTTTGTAATTTTAACCAGTAGTTTAAAATTTTCTTTTTTGTATAAATTTCAAGTGGGACTCTTCACAATAAGAGTTAGTAGTTCATCTTAACAGAAAATTTCTCTCAGATGACAAATTTAAACTAGAGGCGTAATGAGACAATTGAAATGTTGAAATGCTTGCAACTCATATTCTTTGCAGATATGTGTCAACTAGTCAAAATCATAGCCTGCGACAACTAGAAAAAATTGTGAATTAGAGATATCATTTTCCTCAAGTAAATAATTCTGGTTGGCAAAGCAAATGCTGTTAATAATTTGGCTATTACAAGCAAATGTTTCCAAGAAGAATGACTTGCAATTTTTTTTCTCTGTTTTTATTAATTTTGTCTATATTGTATATATGCAAAATGACCACGCATACGTATCTATTATCCATTTGTACCTCTATGGAATGTTAACTCATACACGATAGTGTCTTTGTTCATAGATCAAGGTTAAATTTGCCTCACAGCAATTTTTCGATCGATCTAACTGATAATCTTCAAAGGAAACCAATGCTAAATAAATCCATACCGTGTTTCCTATGAGTGGAAGGGATTTATTCCAATTTGTTATGTTGATGTTCCTACAATCCATCTTCACTGAATTATTAATCAGGTCTACTGTGAGATTGTAACATCCTGTTTAAAATGATGATATTGATTCAAAGAATAACAAAAACAAAACCAAACAACACAGGATGAAATTCTGCCATTCAGTCAACTGAAAGGTCACTGAAAGGTCTGAAAAGGGGACTGAATGGCAGAGCTCTGTCATTCAGTCACCTTTTAGTAAACTTTCAATCACCTTTCAGTTAACTTAATGGCAGAGTTTCATCCTGTGCAAAGTACAAAATAAAAAAGGAACAAAATAAAAAACAAGAAGAAGAAACTGAACGAGAAACTCGTGTAACGAAAAGAAACCACAGAATGTTACACAAACGATGTTTTTTTTAAATGATTATACTACGAAAATTGTTTACTTTACCTACTCTAGAAATCCATGGTTTGCATACAGAAATACTTCTGTTATTTATTTGAGTACTGGGGCAAACAGGGAAATACACACTTTCTTTTTCACGAAGTGGTACAGATTTTGCCACAGACTCATTCATTAAAACATTATATCCATATTTTCTGCAACTTTCTGCAATTTCTGCTACTGGAAATTTCCTGATTCTAATCAGAACGTAATTTGGTGATATGTTTTCTTCTCCAGCTAACAATAGATAGAAAAAGTGTTCATGAATAGTAATTCTAGATAATATGAATTAATGTTTGGTATTTGGCATACTAACAATAGACAAAAACAGTTTTTATGTGTAGTAATAACTTCATAATATGACGTAAAAATTGATATTTTACAAATTTAATTATGATAGAATTTCCTAAAAGTGACTAAAGTGTTACAACGCAAAATGTAATACACTGAGACTATGCCTTTTGTATTATTACATTCTGCGTCAATGCAGAATGTAATAACGCAAAATGTAATAACATACTTTTGGATTATTACATTATGCGTTAATATACTTTGCGTCGACGTCAACACACAATGTAATAACGCAAAATGTAAAAACATTCTTTTGGTTTATTACGTTTTGCGTTATTATACATGTTTCCTCCGGGTTAGCGCAAATTATGATAACACACTCTGTGGATTTAATTTAAAATCTAGATATCATTGGAGACTATTTTAAATCACATTTCCTAAGGTTTCAAAAATCTGTCAATAGCATATGGTATTAAAAAATATAAATACCTGTATATTCACATTTTGTGTTCCTAACATTCTGTGTTGAAATTTGCACAAATTCAAGGAAAAAACTTATCCCATCAAATTCAGGGAGAAACAGTTTCCTGAGGCAAATTTACAATAAAATATAACAGAAAACTTTAACATATAAATGTGAATAAAACTAAATCCTATTAAAGTAAAATCCATCTGTGACGTCACTCTTTTGTTCCATTATTTTTCAGGAATGGAGAGTTGAAAATTACATTGAAAACAGAATTTGTTATGTTCATATTCTCCTTCCCGTACCTCCACCGAGAAAAGAACTTAGAAAATTTTAACAAGCTTATTTTCACTTAGAGAAAATAAATATGGCAATGTTGAGAATCGAACCCGGTACCTTCACCTTCGGAGTCAGGTACTCATCTCACTACGCTTTCGAACCTGTTGAATGACAGCAGATTTAATTAACTTCAGTACACTTTTTTCGCCTTACTTTCTCTCTCTATATAAATAAATACTACTAATATGTTATATGTATATTTACAGTGTATCTTGTAAATATTCTTTATTATATATTAACAAACATAATTACAAACATTTAAAAAGGTGGATTTTACGCGGTTTAATATACTCGTAGCGCTCCATTCCTTAAAATCAATGGGCCTCGGCCCCTTCGGGGCCTCGGCTCCATTACTTTTGAGGAATCGAGCGCTACTCGTACATTAACCCTTACATAATAAGCGATAATAACATACTGTGATACCGTATATTACATTCTGCATTAATTGATTGATTGCATGTTGTTTTACGTCCCATTCGAATATTTCCACTCATATAGAAAAGCCACCGTATACTGGTGAAGGGCTTCAAAAGCTCTTTCCTTGGCACTCAAGGCTATTGGGCAGTGAGGGATCTTTATCGAGCAAGCTTCTACCGTGACACGGGGCCTCGGCTATAAGGTCTCATCCGAAAGACTTGCAACTTTCACTTCAAAGTGCCGAACGCCTGGCGAAGGAATAGTTCTACAAATTTTTTATCGACTTAGGCCAGTTGCAACCGAGATTTGAACCAACGACTTTCCAATCACGGAGCGAGCGCTCTACCGACTGAGATACCGTGATGGTTATTCTGCTTAAACTTCTACAAAAAATGTAATAACGCAAGATGTAATTACACAAAAAGTGTGTTTTTACATTTTGCGTTTTCCATTCAGTGCTTGTTGACCTCGACGCTCAATGTAATAATTCAAAATGTAACATTAAAATGTGTTATTACATATGATTTTGCGTTATTACACTCTGCGTTGACCTCCACACAAAATGTAAAAATCTCAGTTTATTACATTTTGCGTCGTAATTACATTTTGCATTTTTACGTACCACCAATGCAAGTGAAAAAATACTATTTCTAAGTTACTTTACTTACATGAAAGATCGACGCTGCTGAACTTAGTCAAATTCCCGTTTAAAGTTACATAACAAGTATATATGCCGTGTGACAAGGAAGTAGGATCTGTAAAAAGAACAAGAAACCATTGTACATGTTCATGAAAGCAGTACTTTTACAGTATTGTGTCATATTCTGAAGCTAATTCAGGCAGGTGTAAAAAAAACTTAAGTTACTCGTACATAAAGTTGTCTCAATAATTCAAATAAAGAGTGAATTAAAAAAATATAATTACTTATTTTTAATTCAATGTTTTTTATTGAATTATTTTTTGATAAAATGTATAATGATTTTTGCATCAGAATAAAATCTGAATCTACTCTTACGTGATATCAAGATGTCATTAAAAAATTATGAAAATGCTGGGAAATTGGGGAGGGTTTTACTCTTAGTTTCTCTTACTTTCATCAACTAATCTAATGACTGTCTTGTTTCCTTCGCATTCTGTGTCAGATGTCAACGAAATAAATTCCCACATGTACTTGGTGTTGTTCCCGCTTGGGTTACCAGGTGTACTTTTAGCTGGACTCGTAATGCTCAAATTTTTTTGCAGATACCATTCTACTTCGAACTTTAAAAAATCAGCGCCACTGAACCCGCATATTGTACAATTAATTCGAATTTCATTATACCAGTCGTGTGGTGGTGCACTACAAGTAGTGTGGACTGAAAATAAATATAGGAAATTCCCTTCATAATTCGCTATAAATAACAGGAAACTACTGCTAGTGCAACTATTATTTAATAGTCATCAGTAATTTCCCGGTTGATATGAATTATATTAGACGCCTTCGTCAAGATTTATCATCCAGCACCTAGGACAGGTCGCTTTTTTTAGTCAACCTCCTTCAAATTTAAGACTCTCCTTACCACGGTCAGTATTTGATTACGTTACCAAAATTTGATAACTCTAAAAATATGAGGTTGGGCCCCCTCCGACCCCCCCCCCTCCCCCGACCCCACCCTCTCTAGATCCGCGCATGATTTTCTTCTTCATTCCTTAAGAAAACAGATCAGAAGCAATATTATTGGCTCCTCCATCAATTAATCGTGTACTGACCGATATTACAATACTGGTATTCAACGTACTATGAATCATTAAAATATATAACATGTATATGAATTTAAAAAACAAAGAAATGTCTTTCTTTCTTTGTTTATACGTGGATTAAAAGTTCCAAATAATACAGAAAAAAATTAAGGATTTTTCTTCCAATGTTGCAACTGTTCTTTCCCATATTTAACGGGTTACAACTGTTCATATCAACAAAGAAAGCAGTTTATTATATGATTGAATAATTCCTATCTCTCTGATTGGCTGAGATCCAACAATGTTAGAAAAATACTACGTTATATTGACCTGCACGTGACCTTCCAGGTCAATATAAGGAATTATTCATTCGACATTGGACCAAAAATAGATATGGCAATTCCAAATTGATGCAAATAGTTTTGGAAAGTTATTTCACTTGCATCTGACTTCCACTTTTATGAACATAGCATTAAGGCACATAGATTCTTGGGTGAGGGTGTGGGGGGGGGGGTTGCAGGAGGCTTGCCCCTCTCCCTACCTTTTGAGAATGTAAAGTTTTAATTTAAATTTTAAGGATTAAAACATTCAATGAAAGCTCCCCTCCCCTCTTTTATGGACCTTTACATCCAACCAAATAAAATTTTGAGTTGGGAGAATTCTTTTCCTTTTTTTTTTTTGCAGGGGGGGGGGGGGGGAGCTAGTCAAAGATTTGTTTTCAGGTAAGTTGTCATTTTTTTTTCTTTTAATGCCCCCCTTTTCAAAATCAATCCTATATATATGCCTGACATTTATTTTTTCTACATTGCACCTAGACTAAAATTAAAAATTCCAAAATGATACAATTGGTTGTTTTTAACCCCGTTTTTCTCATTATGTTCGGCTAGTACTTAAGTAGATGTGAACAAGTAAGATGGCATGGATTGCTAAATGAGTGTGTGTCATTCAATCATTGAATCATATAATAAAACAATTATTGCTGTTTTTTCGGTCAATACGATGATTTAGCCACCTTCGAAGTACAACATTCACCTCGCCCTTCGGGCTCGGTGAATATTGTACTTCTCAGGTGTCTAAATCATCGTATTGACCTCAAAAACCAGCAATAATTGTATAGTATTGTTTGAATAATACTATTAATAATTATAATACGCCGTACATCTATACTGAAGCAGTATATATTATTCATTACCTGAAAATGTGCTATCTGTTGATGTTTGGTAAATCCAGAAAAGGAAGGATAGGAGAAATATAAATTCACATCTCATGGTTATAAATCTGGGTTTATGAATAGCTTTAATCAACACATGTCCCTTTAGTTGCTTGAGTTTTATGTCAAAGAACAAACTTCCCTGTGTGATTCGGAAATTGGGCCTTAGTCGACGGGATTTGATAGGTACTAACATATTCGAAAATAAAGTACACAGTCATGCCCGTCTTAAAATCTTCATATTTCATCTACATGTCTCGAAAAACGCTTTCGAATTATGCACAGAAAATAATATTGTTTTGTGTCCTTAATTCTTATGATCGGAACTGATGTAGCATTTGTAATTAGGTTATATTACTCCAACGAGAAAGTTAGAATGACTCTTGATTTCACACTTTTGTCGAGGAATGAGAGAGAGTCTGTCCCAAAAACTTGTATACTTCAAAAAACTGCAAATGGATTTCAACTGAATTTTAGCAAGGTCATGTCTCGGAACTAATTTATTTTGAAGATCTGGTTGATCATGCAGGAGTAAACTTAAGTTATATTTAGAGTACGAGTTTCCTACTGTATCGGAGATACAGGGCGGGGCTTAAGGCGAGAGCGATAGCTCGAGCCGGGCCCCGCCCTGTATCTCCGATACAATAGGAAACGAGTATTCTAAATGACTTGTGACATGACCTTTCTTATGACCTCGCTAATTTACATGTGTATTTGGGTATATATCTCTAAACCAATCAGATGATTTTACAGAAAGATGATTTAGTAACCCATTTTAAGCAATCGCAACTGAAATACCGAGTGAGGTGGACGTGCAGGTATCTATCAATTTAAATAATTATAATTATGAGATGCATTATATAATGTGTTTTCCCAAAATTTTATTTTTATTTGATTGCGTAGGTTTTTTTCCTTTCTATTTAGCTCTTGCTGACTTTTTTTTTTATATCTAAGCTACAAATTTAGTGCAAAACATTTTGATACATAAGAATCATATATGGGAATGTATTTGAAGCAAAAATGTTTCGGGGAGGTTCACTGGTTATATTCTAAAAGAAATGTCCAACAATGTCATCGACCGGTCGTCATACATGTGTATGCAAAATTCTTGGCTCCAAATTGAAATAAACAGATGTAAGAAAGGGGGCATATTACCTTCATGTTTCAGTGAAACAAAATGTAGAGGAACCAAAGGCAAATCCAGCACTCATTCGCGCGCGTGCCCCCCCCCCCCCTTTCGAGTTGTTTTTTTTTTTTTTTTAATTTTGGCTTTCGTAAATTATGTTTGCTAAACTTGTATACACTTTTAATTTATCAACACAAAACGATCACGCACATACAGTGTCAGGCCTGATTATGAATCTACCCCCCACGAAACCCCCGATTTTCCAGTCTGGACATTTTTTTTTCCGGAAGAAAACCATTTGTGAACTGCCCCCACTCACTCCTTTCTAAAATTTTTGAATCCGCCACTTGTAACTTTACGTTGTAAAATTCTGTTCTTAATTCATCTCAAATTTTGAATAAATACTAATAGCGCTATCATGCGATTTGATTGATTCTTATGTCTATATCATTAAGATACGGATTCAGTTTTCCGTCATTGCTAAAAATAAACCGTACTGTATCGTTGATATTTTGCAGATACAGTACAGTTTCTGCTCATTTGCATAAGAAACGCCCACTAAAAGTGTTCTGTATCGCAGTTATTGTACGGCTGACTTCAAAGGAAAACTCGCCGGGTCATGTCACAATGGATTTTAATGAAGGGTTAAAAGAAATTTGTGTCTGGGGTGTAGAAATTTTTGGTAGCTGCATATTTATTGATAGATTTTGTTAATTGATTGATTGATTGTATATTGTTTTACGTCCCATTCGAGAATTTTTCACTCATATAGAGACGTCACCATATACCGGTGAAGGGCTTCAAATTTTGACCTTTACTCGGCACTCAGGGCC